GTTACTATACCGCTCCACGACCGTCTTAATATACGTCTGATACGCAGATTGCATCGTATCACTGGTATAGAAATCCGTCTCGTCGGATCCGCCATATGCGCTCACATACGCGGACATACCGCCGTAGTCGGTCCAGTAGTTGACGAAGTTGATGATGAGTTTGATGCCGTGCTGTTCGGCGGACGAGACGACGTAGTCGAGGCGCTGGAGACCGTCGGCGCCAGTGTTGATGGTTGATTTGCCGTCCTGGTGCAGTTGGTACCAGACTGTGCCGGAGGAGGGCTGCGTGGTGACGTCGTTGAAGCCCCATACGCGGAGGATTTTGAGGCCGGATGACTTTAGGTGGCTCATCACCAGGTCGACGTCCGAGTCGTCGGTTAGGAAACCGATCCAGTAGCTGTTCGTTCCGGCGAAGTAGCCGGTTTCGCCGTCGATGGTGAATTGGAGGCCCGAGGTGCTGGCGAAGGAGGTGGAGGCGCTGGTGCTGCTGCTGCTTGGTGCAGGAGAGGCTTTGGGCAGGGCCGTGGAAAGGTTGGCCAGCGCCAGGCTGGCCAGGGTGAGGAGGGAGCTGGAGAGCTTCATTGTGGTCGTTTGCTTGGCTGCTTATGATACTGTAGTTGTGTCGGTTAAGCTGGCTTTATAGCTACTCTGCCCGCTGCCAGTCGGTTTCTGCTACACGGACGACCCTCCGTTCTGCAATAAGCAGTGACCTGTAGGACGCCTGGGAAGGAGTTCTGTCTCCAGTCTTGGACCTCCGGATACCAAGTTGAGAACGGAGCGGTGACGATCATCGTGGCAGTTAATCAATCTGCAGATGCAGGTGTTTTGTCCGTGCTCGATTCGGTATGGCGAGACCCTCTGCGGTTGTTTCAGGTGATCTGAGTGGTGGGATTCTGCATCAGGGATCGCTGGTGGGGATGATGTGTTACATCTGTGTAAAGATAGTTTGATGAAGACTCTGCTGTTGCTTTCTATATTTGTTGCTGGGTTGGTTTCAGTTGTGGATGGATGGTGGATGGCCTGATGGGGTGCGGATGGGTGCGACCGGCGATGGGTGGCGGTTGCTTATGGGTTATTGATGTCAGTGAGAAGACAAAAGATGGACAGGTGGGAGATATGAGTTCAGTGTAATAAGCTATTTTAAGATATCGAAACAGACGAATAGTTTCTGCGATAAATGGCTTATTTCTCTCACCGGTCGGCGTGGGGCACTCTGGATAACCACGTGTGTGGCAGCGGGAAGATCGGCGGGATTCCAGTGCGTGTGACCCCAGGAACCACTGGAAACCATCCACAAACAAAGGAAAAGGAAAACAAAGTATGATTGAAAGTATCTCCATTGCAAATCACCTGTCAGTGTCGTTAATACTTTCTGCCGAGTCAGAGGACTTGTGTGGCGGGTTAAATGATGTGTATAGCGGGCTTGTCATCCAACTTCGTCTTTCAGTCCCAAATATATATTTCCTACTTAGTACTATACATGCCCCCTGGTATGCAAATTGTCCCTGCGGTTGCTGGTAATAGCCCTCCGTTTATCTAGTAGTAATACTGCTGCGAATATACATTTTCATTTATAATCATGGTGACTGTAATACCCGATCTACATTTGTAAAATGATCCCCCCGTCTCATTGAAAGCAGTGTATCTACATCATGGAAGAGCTAGGTACTAATAAGGATGGTGATGTCTCGAACACTTTTACTGAATTATGAATAGTATTGATTGTTTTTTTCATTTGCAATCGAATCATACAAGGCTATGCAATGGTCGTATCAGGACAAGACTAAGTCAGATCAGTATTGATGCACAAGTACTTGTCTACAATGTATTCGCCTAACCAGCACCAGCTGAAATGTTGAACCTTATACCATTGACCTCAATGGCAACAAGTTAAAATATCGTTAGATCCTAAGTACTAGTGTTACCCGAAGATTTGCCGGGACTACCAATGGAAGGATGGAAAAGCATGATGGCAGCAGGTTCTACCCTTCCCCAGCCGGAGTAGCCCTTTGCAAGAGCCTACGAGGCTACGACAGAACCACCACCCCAGACCGAGTCTAATAGTGCTGACACCTTAAAGCCGAATGGAAAATCCAACCTCATCGCGTGGCTCGGAGTTCACCCCACCCCCTCATCTCCTCATCGTACTAGACAGGCAGTCGTCCGACTGCAATGCATGAAGCCGAACAACAGAGGGTAAAGTATGATCCGGAGCGCAGGGCTGAACAACCAAGCACAGTCCCTGAAAAGGAGACACAGACAGAGTTTTCCATCCAAGTCTTCCATGATTGGCCCTTGTTGAGCAGTGTTGGTCGGCCCGATGCTGGGAATAACCAAGCTATCGAGACGGCGTTAAGCATAATTGACTGGGTTAATATCGGCGTAAATTGCCGTGCAGCAGGTCACGAGCCGATGCTCGGAAGACATTCCTCCAGAGTTCGGATGTGGATGGAACAGTCGGAAAAATGTTTCTGAGGAGAGGAAGTGTGGGAGGCGGCATGTGGGGAGAAACAGATGTACCGAGCGGGGTGCGGGTTGGGTGTCTGTGGACTGCCGTAGTGTGATATGGGGTAGGTTAGTCATCCATTGTTGTGTCAACAGATGACTACATTAGTTAAGATATTTATCTATAGATTATAGGATATAGATGATGTCGATAGATAGAGTTTGGATGTAGATCTGTCTCTGTCAGGGGTAAGCTTATGATTAGCAATTCCTAACGCTCTTGTGGTTGACAGGGTGCTTCTGCATTGTCCATGTGTTTGGTGACATCTCCCCAGCCTGGAGTAAGGAGCGGCACCCCACGGAGAGGCAGATGCAGGGACAACACCCCAGATACCCTGTTTCCCTCCCACAAGTTGCAACATCATGCTGTCTGCATATGGCACCATCACCGGTCATATCTCTGTAGTCGGCTGACCAAATCTCGGTCGAGTGCACACTTGAAGCTTGTTACTTGGAATCTTCGACCAGGATCTGGACTCTCGTCGCTACCGGGTTCCGCGCTACTACGGAAGTGGCGCTGAGGGCTGCCGGGGACCAACAACTTGCAAACCAGGATGACATTGTGGTTGTTGCTGTTCCAGAAAGGCGGAGGAAAGCTGGGCCGGGCACTCTCCAAGAGACCGAAGAAACCAAAGCAGGCAGGTTCCACGGGGATTCTGTTAGTCAGTTAGTCAGCCGGGGTGCCGCCGGAAATTACACTACCCCCATATAACATACGTCATCTTGCATTAGCCGACCACGTGTAGTAACCAACCCTAGCCCTCTGGATGACATCTTTTCCGGGCTGCAAGTCTATTAGTCAGGTCCCCCGGTCGCATGGGGGGAATCTGGAGTGCTCAGGGACCATCCCACGCGAAATGAAGGGGGTGAGCAGAGAAAAACAACGCATATTATCGCTGATCACCCTGCGTAGTGTATTTTGATTTGCATAGTAAGATTATCGGTCAATATCCTAGTGGTAAATTGAGCACATCAAGTCAGCCCGCGTCGTCATGCCAAGGTGCAAGACTGCAGTTCGCTGACGATGATGTTGCAGCCAAGGCAGCCACAAAGCTTCGTTGGATCCGGTGGATGGTTCCAGAGCCAACCAGTGGTGTCGCCGAGTGCCACTGAAATTCTTGTGTGTGTGCAGTCGGCTCGGTCGGGATTGTGTGGCAGCTGTGGGCGTGCAGGTTTTCGTTTTGTTGGCTGAGTAGTCCCTCGTCATGCCGTGAATCGGGGCCGATTCTCTCGGTCGGCCGTGATCAGTCCCAGACGTTTAGGGTTGGAATTTTCCTCGTAGGCGCAGCACAATTTCGGGCAGGTGACCGACAGAAATCGGGATCGCTTAGGATTGGAATCGGTACAGAGTTGTTTTGGAATTGCAATGGCCATCTACAGTTTCCCCAGAATATGCAGAAATGTATCTGAGCGTAGTTCGATCATGATAATGAACTGACGTCTACTAACCTCCGCATTTTCCCCTCTTTTCCCCCCTGCAAGGATAAGAAAATCCGGGATATCGACTCACCGGTCAACGAATATGGGAATCTCCAGGTTGGCATCTCCGGCCCTCCAGGAAATCCCTGCGTTGGGCTCTCTCTCCCACACACTCCAGTCCACACTTCCTCCACCTCCAGTCCGTCTGCTTCCGAGCCAACAAGCGGCGATTTGCCCTGCCGAACTCTGGAGGCCTACCCGATACGGTTTAGGGCACCGGTCTAGTCCCGAAACAGTGGGTCGCCTCTTTCTCACTAGCCTCGTGACTGGAGAAGGTAAGCGGCTTCTCCACGTTGGGCAAGAATCCCTTTCAATTAGTAGTATTGCTCGCCTCCCCTTCCTCTTTCAAGTCTTGCCCTCCTTCAGCTCGCTTCTCTGCAAAACCTGGCTGAGACAGTTGTAAGCAACGACACGGTATCCCGTCTCATCATCCCGACAATTGTATAATACGTTGTATAGTCATCTCAATCTATAAACCTATGAGTCTATCATCTATCAAAACAGGCTTCTAAACGACGCCATATCATTCTGCCTTCTTCCACCCCCCGTTCCATGGCTATTCTCTTACATGCGCCTCCTAACCGTTCCCCATCCTGACCCAATAATGTTGATCCGTTTTCATCTCTCCCGGCTAAAGTTCTGTCGCCAGACGCCAGTGCCGATGCGCTGAGCCAACGAGCGTCCGCCACCCGACCCTCCTTGCCCCGAAAGGGCCGTGGAACCCGAAGTTATGCCTGCTCCCCCTGGTACGGCCGGCCCTTCCCCAGCATTTCGGCTGTTCTGACTGGTCTATCGGTTTCGGCCGGCCGTCCATTCTCACTGGTTGACGGCCTCTCGCTCATGAATCGTCTTGGTCGGTCTCCCCCGGCGGCACTCGCTGCGGTGCTGCATCTGATGTCGGCTCTCCACACGTCGGCTCTGACGCCCCCCTCCCCCGTGGATCTCTTTTCCCTGGTGAAATTTTTCTCTCTGTCGTCTCATACGATGGAGGACATAAAAGGGCTTGCATCTCCCCAGATTCGGGCACTTTTCTATCTTCCATCTCAACCCCGACAATCATCACTTAACTTGACTTTTACCCTACGGTGATCTTCAACAAATCCCAACCTAGGGTCTCCTCCTATTACTTTATTTAATATCCTCTTCTTTATCTTGTCGTCTTTGACTTGACATCCTTCCCCACTGATAAACAAACAAAACATCCTCCACGTGTCCACCATGGGTGTCGAAACCTCCGCTGACCACGGGGAGAACATCTCCCCGGCGGTCGCTCCCCAGCAGCACTCCAGCCAAGAGTCTTTCCAGAAGCCTCTTGGCGGTGTTGACACCCCTGTCCCCCGCGTGACCCTACGGGCCTTCGTCATGGCCGTCTTCGTCTCCATGGGTGGTCTCCTCTTCGGTTATGACACTGGTCAGATCTCCGGTTTCGAGCAGGAATCCGACTATCTCCGCCGCTATGGTATGCAGAACGCTCAGGGCGAATGGTACCTGAGTGACGTCCGCTCCGGTCTCTTGACCAGTCTTCTGTCCATTGGTACCCTGGTCGGTGCTCTCGTCGCTGCCCCCATCGCCAACAAGATCGGCCGCAAGTGGTCCATCACTTTCTGGTGTGTTATCCTCATGGTCGGCTTGATAGTCCAGATCTCTGCCCCCTCCGGCAACTGGGTCCAGATGGTCATGGGTCGTTGGACCACTGGTCTGGGTGTTGGTGCCTGCTCCCTGCTCGTCCCCATGTACCAGGGTGAGAGTGCCCCCCGTCACGTCCGTGGTGCCATGGTCAGTTGCTACCAGCTGTTCGTCACCTTCGGTATCTTCCTGGCCTACCTCATCAACCTGGGTACCAACACCCTTGAGGGTACTGCCCAATGGCGTATCACTCTCGGTCTGACCTTCCTGTTCGCCATTGTCCTCGGTGGTGGTATGGCTTTCTTCCCCGAGTCTCCTCGTTTCGACTTCCGCCACGGCCGCGTCGACCAGGCCCGTGCCACCATGGCCAAGCTGTACGGTGTGCCTGAGAACCACCAGGTCATCCTGCAGGAGCTCGACGAGATTCAGAACCAGCTCGAGGCCGAAACCGGCAGCGAGAAGTGGTACGAATTCCTCACTGCGCCTCGCATGTTCTACCGTATCTGCCTGGGTATGGCCCTGCAGACCCTCCAGCAGCTGACTGGTTCCAACTACTTCTTCTACTACGTATGTATTCCTACAAACATTCTCTCAATGGTTCATCATACTAACATCTCATAGGGTACCACCATCTTCAAGGGTGCCGGTCTGTCCAACAGCTTCGTTACTCAGTGCATTCTGGGTGCCGTCAACTTCGCTTGCACCTTCGGTGGTCTGTACACCGTTGAGAACTTCGGTCGTCGCAAGTCCCTGATCTTCGGAGCCCTGTGGATGTTCGTCTGCTTCATGATCTTCGCTTCGATCGGTCACTTCATGCTCGACGTCGCCGAGCCCGAGAACACCCCCGGCGTCGGCAAGGGTATGATTGTGCTCGCTTGCTTCTTCATTGCCGGATACGCCATGACCTGGGCTCCCATGGTCTGGACCATCACCGCCGAGCTGTACCCCTCCAAGTACCGTGCCCAGGGTATGGCTCTGGCCGTTGCTGCCAACTGGGCCTGGAACTTCCTGATCGGTTTCTTCACTCCCTTCATCACCAGCGCCATCGACTTTGCCTACGGATACGTCTTCGCGGGCTGCATGTTTGTCGGTGCCTTTGTCGTCTACTTCTTCGTCATGGAGGGTAAGGGCCGTACCCTCGAGGAGCTTGACTGGCTGTACGTCAACAAGATCAAGCCTTGGAAGAGCAGCAACTTTGAGATCCCCGCTCTGCACTCCTTCCAGTACGAGGAGGAGCGTAAGCAGTCTCGTTCTTACCACGCGGAGAACGCGTAAATGTCAGTTTAGGAGTTTTGGGAGATTGTCTATATGTTGATGGATATGGCTTGCATGATACTATTGCATGTTTGCATGTTGCATGATTCGCATGATACCTTATTATTTTATACCATGTACTGATAATTTTTCAAGAGTTGATGCATCAACTGGGTTTCAAAATTTTATTCAAGTGATTTTCTATTCGCTTTTCTTCTTTCCTTCTGTAGTGATTGATATTGTTTCATCTGAGGCAAGGTGGAGAGTTAGTACTTAAAGTATTGTATTCATAGTTATATTTCTAGGTCCATCAATAGACATTGCAGTCCAGTCAACCATATCTTCACATATTCCATTCATAGCCGTCCATAGAATTCACCCCATTCAACAGTGATGGAACCCCATCATTCAATCTTATCCTAATAATATTAATAAATTCCAAATAATCCAAATTCCTCCATATAAAATCACAGAACCCTCCGAAAAGCTCCCCTCATCCTCCCTCATCTTCCACCATGCACCACCAACCTCAACATCACGTGAACACCACATCGCCACCCTCGCCACTCCCCCACCCAACCAATCAGCATCACCAATCTTGTCCATGACACCGACACATCTGGAAACGTCGATCGGCATCGGCATCGGCATCATGCTGACTTTGACATTTAATGGAACCTTCCCGACCACCATGTGACCGCATCCAACCGGCATGTTCCTATCCCTGTATATTAAAGTATATTTCGGGAATCTGCGAAGAAGCAAGATTTATCGGGAGTCTCCGTCGCTTGATTGCTTCTGTCGCTTTATATTGTTAACTGCACGTGAGGTCACGAGTGGGTATATAAGAAAGACTTCAAGTACCAGGTCATGTACCTTTGTTGCTTCTCAGGCCTGGAGGCAGGGGGTTTGGGGACATGGTCGATACTTCTTTGACTATAATGGGGGGTTTTTATAATATGGTGGGATTGGAAAGCTATGCCAAAATGATGTTTCCATTCTGGTCTGGTTGATCTGTCGTTGCTGGGAGGTTATTCTTGAGGATACAAGAAGTTATTCTCATATGGCAAGACATTGTATAATGGTACGTGAGTTTGCTGACTGCTCTGTATGGGATGATATCACCAGTCTACTTGAGACTTCCATGCCTGGTCAGATTATGAACCATCCTTCAACAATGACACTGGGAGATGAAATGATCTCTTATTCTACATGCTGCCTGCTGGAAGATACTTCCGAAAGAATACCAGGAGGTATATTTAATCTTGCAAGGGCCAGCAATATCACACATGCTATCCTCTATTGTTCTTATGGGATGGCACATGTACTAATAACCCAGGTCGTGGCTTTGGGATATTTCTCAGGCCGTATTCCAGAGACACTTTGATAAGGAATCACGACTCGCTCTGGACAATGATGAAGAGAGCTGTCTAAGGGAGGTTTATACGCTGGTGAACTTCCTCCAATTTTCCTTTATGTTCTGGGGCGGACATCAGTATTGTCTATAAGAGGATTGTGTTTCAGAGGACATATTTGCTCGACTCATCTCCGACTCGCACACTGCACTCTGGATGACGCTATATATACTGGTGTGGATAATAATAATGAGAGAAGAGAGCAGCAGACCTTGAATTCTTTCTGGATATGTTTGTCTCTCGCTGACCGGCTAAATGTGTCCGGGTGTCTTTAGCAGCGCGAATTATTGGATTACGGTATACTCCAGAGAGAACGTACGGAAAGCTCTAGAGAAATATCACCAGAGGCGCAAGCCAACAATAAAGACGAATACATTCGCCCTCACCCGCAACACTACAGCGGGACCTCCGATGATAGTTCATGGCAGTGCGGGTCCGTCGACCTGTCAGATGATAACGTGATAGTGTCGCACATGATCTTGGATGACTGGAGAGAAAGATCATTATTATCAGCAAGTACCAATACCACAAAGCACTCCCTTTCTGAAGCCCTTTGGAATCAATGTGGCCAGTCTTGGTGTTCCTGTCTATTTCAACATCCGGGGTAGAGTTTCACAGTACGTTAGCGCCGCAACGACGGGGTTACTATATTTAGCTCGGCGCCTAAGATAAACATCAGATAACCATGACCAGTCCACATTCTTGATGAGGAAAACTGACAACATCGGCGCGTATAGATTTTCTGGACCGTCCAATAGTTGAAGAGGGAGGAATGTGATGATGTGCTCTTACGCAGCCTAATAACATGGACTATAAGAACGGGTGCCAGACACCACCTTCTAGACTCCTGACTGTCCGTTTACATTCATCTACTACAATCTTTCTACTACTACGAAATCCCAACATACCAACGAAGCACCTAATAATCTACCACCAACAAACAACTAATTCTATTTATCACCTTCAACTGCCAAAATGACTACCTTCTACATCCCAGTCGAACTCCTGTCCTACTACTATATCACCATCGATATAGACACCCCCATATGGCACCCATTGCCCTGTGGTATACCATATGACGAAACGACAAGTTACTGTCAGATGTCCAACACCACCCACATCGAAAGGGATATACCATATGACACAACGACAGACTACTGTCCTATTACCGACACCAGCCACATCGAACGCAGAGACAGCGGCATCTTTATCCCCTCAAACCCCCCATCCCCCGAACCAAGCACCATCACCATCAACCCAAAACCAACAACAACAACAACATACACTGCACCCTCCCGTTGGACAACCTTAACCACCCAAGCCGAGCAAACCAAAGCCCTTGACTTCCTTACCAACAACTGCCACACGATCCAAACCCTCCAAGCAGCAAACTACACCATCACCCCGGATACAACAAAGAACAACATCCGCTTCCAACAAACCCCAGACACATACAACCCTTCCGCCCGCCTCGCAGTCTCCCTTGACTGCGAAATGGTAACCGACATCACGGGCCGCACCCAGCTCTGCCAAGTCAGCTTGGTAGACGTCCTCACGGGGGAACTCCTCCTCGATCAGCCTGTGCTGCCTACCGAGCCGGTCTCCGACTGGAAGACGAAATGGAGCGGGATGACAGCCGAACTCATGGACCAGCACGTCGCCGCTGGAAGAACAGTGAACGGGTACGAAGGGGCACGGGCCCGTGTGTGGGATTTCGTCGACCAGAATGCGATTCTGGTCGGCCAGAGTCTGAACTTCGACCTCGATGTGTTGGGCATCGTGCATGACAGAATCGTGGATACGTACCTTCTTATGAAGGGGGAGAGGAGAGGGAGGAGCTGTCGCCTACGAGATATCGTAAGGGACTGCTGTGGGGTCGAGATTCAGAAAGGGGAGGAGGTCCAAGAGGGACATGACTGTGCGGAGGATTGCTATGCTGCTAGGGAGGTGGCACTGTGGTCTGTGGAGAATCTGGGGAAGGATGAAGGTGGAGGAGGGGGTAGTACCCAAGGATTATTCTGTGTCGAGAGCTTCATGTAATGGGTACTACCTCTCGGTGAAGGATTGTGCTTCCTCGTGTGGAGCCGGGTTATACTTTCGAGAGTCTGGGGAAAGATGGGGGTAGTACCTGAGGTTAATTTTGTGTTGAGAGCTTCATGTAATGGGTACTATTTCCCGATGGAGAGTTACGCTTCCTCGTGTGGAGCAATTTTATACTTCTCTACTTCTTGATAGCCTCTACATCAAGAAGCGTGAGTCAAATCTATGATGACTTTCAACCGTCTTTTCAATCTTTCCTGCGACATGCTATTGTGTCTTGACGTGCCTCGTGAAGCTGAGTGGACTGTTCTGCGCCTGGACGAGAAGGATCGACACGTACTATACCACTCCCGTTGTCTCATCATGGGCTACTGATGGTGGGCCAATATTGAATGGTCGACGATTACTATAACACTGTTGTCTTTTCGAAGGTTGCCGGAAGCATCATCGGGCTGTTATGGGGGTATGGGGTGAACTCCATGGCCCCTGTCTCATCGAGGTGGCTCACCTTGGATGATCTGGCGCGGCTGAAGCAGAGCACCCCGCCTTTTCTATATATAGATGACTTGACTACGATGAGATACCCGGTTTACGCTATGCAATTAACTGAAAGTATCCACTATGTGTTTGCTACTGTATCCCTATTCTAACTGTAGCTTTAGCTGTAAAAGTGAACTGAGATAATGCTCATACTACTTTGTAGCTGTAAGAATGATGAGATATTTGTGGAATAGAAAACGATGGAAAGTAACATGCATCGACATGACATATGCGTAGAATGTAAGTGTATTCTGCATACAAAGACATTCTTTCTCGTCAATACTTATGCTCGACAAAGGATGTTCCCGCCATACATTGATCATTTGATATACACACAAAGAGCATAAAGCTGACAAACCTTAAATATGAGCAGCACCAACAATGGCTACGACATACTTCAATTTATTGAACTTGTACATAATATATCCTTACTCACAAGGGCTTCTTCCATACCATTCATGTTGTGTCACACTTATATATACCCCATCCTTGCATGCCATCCAAACAGCATCAACGATTCTACACTGCTAAAAAAGCACAAACTACGTTACACAAACCCAACCCTAAAGCAAGTCACCAATTACATCTACCACAATGACCACAACAGACTCGATCACAACCACCATGGCTACCCAAGAACCAACCACATCCACAAAGCTCATAGCATCATCCACCCCCACCACTAAAATGGACACCGTCTTCAGCATCGTCGAACTAGTCGAGTGCATTCTCCTCCGCTTCGACCCATTCGACCTCATGCGCGCCCAGCTCGTCTGCCGCCAATGGCGCACACTCATCACCACGCGCAGCCCGCTCCGAGCAGTATTATTCTACGACTTCGTCCACCCGTACCCCACCGAACCAGCCTTCAACCCACTCATGCAATATCTCTTCCCAGTGCTATTCCCCACCCCGGACTTCACCAAACCTACCTCCCCAATCTTCATGCCGGAAGACATACAGCATATGCGCCTTGGTGACGACACAGCCTACCATAAGGCCGTCTTCCGCCCCGAAGCCTCCTGGCGACGCATGAGACCCATGAATATCCCGTGCCGGGTGCGCAAAGTAGTCCGGAAGACGGTCAGGGATGATCAAAACCCAGCGAAGAATCTGCTGATGTATGATAAAGAGGCCGGACAGGATCCGGTGCTGGGAGCGACGATGGAGCTCGTTTGGGATGTGTTGTTGCATGAGATAGGGTTTTGGCCGACGAATGGGATGGCGGTAGAGTGGAGGACTGTGAGGGAGGGGAGCGGGGAGTGGGATAATAACTGGAAGGAGAGGGTTAGTGATGAGGAGAAGAGAAGGCTGAGGGCGCCGTATGAGTGCTCGTTTGTGTGTGCGAGTCCGGAGAGGATGCTGGGGTGGTGTGATCGGCGTCAGTTTACGTTTGTGAGGGTGAAGCCGCCGGTTAGGATGAAGTCAACGGCGGGGCAGTATTTGGGGATGAGGAATCAGTATGAAATGGATAAGTTTGATTCGAAGTTTTATGGCCCGGATAAGCCTCCGAAATTTGCGCATAGGGGGGAGTGGGAGTGGGTTAATGATGATGGGACTAGAACTTACGACTCTAACAAATATACGCCCAATGACGAGGATAGAATACGGCCTGTTGAGGATGAGGATGATAGTGGTACGGAGTGGCCTTGGGATGAGGCGAGGGAGTACTTTGAGAGGCCGGATTGCTATTGGGTGCCTACTCATACGCCGCTTTGAGATGATTGGGTTGGGGTATATATAGTCTTGGTTAGATTACTGTCTTCCACCGGTGGTGCTGGGTATGCTGGTGATGCTGGGTAGTTGGTAGTGGTAACAGTACACTCTAGGACTGTGCAATGAGGACTTGGCTATACTGGAAGCGAAATGCTTGAGTTCTCTCATGGAATAGTCATGATTGCTGTGGCTACTAAAGCAATGCTACAAATAGATAACGTCTTTGCACATGCGGAAAGATAGGATTGATTTGCTTTGCGCAAGAAGGGATATGCCTCCAGCCAATAGAAAATTGGACGAGCAGAAGGCCACAGCGACATGCCTCTGCTCCACTGACATGGCGCAGGAAATAACCAATTGACGAGGACATGTTTCGTTCCGGATCGCTCCACCCCCGTGTTAAGAAATGATCATCTGCTTAGCTTTAGCAAATCCTTTGGCAGCGCCACCACTTTCAATCCAGCCTATCAAGTGATGACAGCAGTTTGTGTAACGTCGTGAAATGAAGAATCCAGTCAAAAATATCCAATATCCGCTGTCATCATGTAGAAGGTATCTGATTATGTGTATGACATAAGTAGGGGTATTGCAAAGCCCGGAACCAGGCCATGATGCACTGATGGGATGATGGGAAGTCACATTCGGATTACGTCGACAGTCGGACAATGCTTCCGAGCAAAGCGTCGATGTGACAACAAGCTGATAGTATTGTGAGACAGTATAAGTACGCTCGTCTCCCCTACATCTCTGCAGAACTGTCATGCTCTAGATTCTCCTAGAGTGTCTCATAGCATCAGAACATACCACGCATAGCCCAAATGGACGTCCTCGACGAACAGAAAAGTCCATTATGCGTGGCATGGGACGATGCATCCTCAGACCCCGACTACCCGACGGAAAACCAAACAATCCCGGGAGACGATAACGGCGACAAAGGACACACGGCTGCGCAAGCGGCACTCGCAATTCCGGAGATTCTGGAGATGATACTTATCAGACTCGGCTTTGCGGACTTGCTGAGAATGGAGCAGGTCTGTCGATCCTGGCAGTCCATAATGAGGGGGTCCATTATCATCCGACGGGCTCTGTTCTTCGAGCAGTCTTCGGCCTCTTATAATGAAGAGCCGGCGCTTAATCCTTTCTTCAAGAAGTGGTTCTGTCCTGGATACTACTGTAGAAACATTGGGGGTTACTTCGTTCAACGTGGGCCAAGCGGGAAGTTCGCATGGTTTGAGAATGCCAAGCTGAAAGAAATCGTCCTATACGAGAAGGCATCATGGCGACGGATGTGGCCATCGACTGTCCCTGTTGTGCTCGAAGCTGTTAGCCTGCACACGAGGAGGCAGGACCCAGGGCCGGGGATCAGTGATCATGTCGACTTGAACAGGGAGCACAGTCTTCTGAGAAGTGATACCAACGGCATGAATCTCAGCGGATTCCTGGAGGCGATGATATCGCTAATGAACCATTCCAAGTCGCCGGAATTCACTGTGTTCTGGAAGAAGACGGTCGATAATAGTGGCAGACCACGTTGGCAACTGATTGCTATCTTGAATCCAAGCCAGCTGATGTCACCGCGTATTGACACTAAACCGATTTATCCTGGGATTTCGAAGATGGATTTTGCTGAATTCCTTAATGATGATGAGCTGAGCAGATTCCTCTCCTGGACCGATGTGGTCGACGATTACTATAACACTCATGTTGACTGGTGATAGACTACTGATGGATGCTCAGCAGGGCTATATTAGTATATGGCGGTTCCCATGTACGGGGAGAGTCAGATGTTTGCTGAACATGTTGCTTTTTAGATAGATATGTGCACAATAAAATCTTAGATCGATGCTGAAATCAACGTTACACTTTGCTGAAGTTATACTGTCACAGTCAAAAAGAACAAAAGGCTACCGTCTTTGATATTGGCGTACAGTCTCGCTTTCAGTACATTGGAATGCGTCCTCATGTCCTCGATATGATTGATCGTAAACTGCTCTGAATACACATCGTTTATTCTATCACAGCTAGGTCAGGAGTGGTCAGCTCGGAAGAGACGAACCATCCGGCGATTTCTTCTGGGGCTTACTGCTATGAGAAATGTTCACGTGATCTGTGGTAGAAAAGGTCAATAAGAGGGTGAATGATTCAATTCCTTTGTAGGAGCTACCTCATGAGCCATTATTAAGAACACTGATAAATGGAAATGAGGGCCTGTAGCTTGTTCCACTAGGTTTTGCTGACGATATGTGACTCCTTGATTTCTTGTGCACAAAGTAGACAAGTGGTTATCGATTCTTTCACTCGTCAAAAGGAATAGTATATTGCATTGTGGAACATACCATTGTTTATAAATCTGCAGATATTGGTTGTGAAGAGCGGAAATATCCTACATAGACTTAATCGTCTCGACATGCCGAGAAATTTAGATGAGTGACTTCTTCACATTCCATAGGTATTCGAGGTGATAAGTCCAGCAACATGAACGCGACAACTAAGGTGCTGCACCTCCCCAAATTGCTAGAGAAAGTCTTGCTCTATCAATTATGGCGCCTTAAAACTGGTATACCAACCTTGGAAAACCTTTCTGACATGGAGGGTACAAGATTGAAAATCCCCACTCAAAATGTGGAAGAAGAATAGCAAGATGGACTTATACGCGAGGATCAATCCTGTTGCCTTTGGGTAGCCGATGTTTCTAAAAGCCACGGGCAAGACGCGAGGAAAATTGCCAACCGAGTCTACGAGTCCGATTGAATTAGACCGAGGATTCAGCATAACCAAGTTATAGATAGCCCCAAGCCATTATATGACCATATACAACGCAACCTCTCTGGGCATTTATTTAGCGATATTGTGAACAGGGTAGTGCCTATTAAGCACCCAGCATGTGTTCTGTAAATTCTTTGTCATCCACACCCCCTAGAAGAAAGTGACTGATGTGTTATAACCCCAAATAAGACATTGAACATGGGACCTTCCATACATTAGAAACAAACTTTCCATCCCAAATAGGCGCCACTTCTGCTTATTTAGCATGCCGATAAACAACACCATCACGAAAGAAAAACTAAAGCCAAGTTAGACGGGTGTAGGCAAAGTTCAGCCAACACAACATGGATCCTCCCACTCGAAGTTTACAAAACAACGATTACCACTCCTCCCTAGACACCATTGGTGACCTTCACAGACATAAACACCCACAAGCATAAGAGAAGATATAACTGCCATGGACTGTCCAACATCAGCCCCCTTCCATGTCCAACAAAATTGTCAAGAAAATTGTCAACAATGCCTAACCAACAGCCCCTCAGCCCACTCATCCCCAGAAGCGTTCCCCAGACTACCATACCCAACATTGTACCTCATCACCTTCACCATCACACTTCCTTCCGCCATACAGGAGGCAAGAACTCATCTCCTCGCGCCATGCAAAACCGCTTACCTCCACTCATGCTCACCGGCGCGTCTCCACGGCTTTCAACCCTGGAACCCTCTACCACCACAACAAGCCCTCCCCCCTCCTTTCCATCTCCCTCCTCCACTTCCTCCGACCCTCTGGCGGACATTGTCAGGTCCACACCCAATCAACAGGCCCTTACAGAAGAACAAACCTTGAAGCTCTGGCACAAAGTCCTAGTCAAGATCTACCCACCAAACGGCGAGTTCGCTCACGATCTCCGCACCGCTGAGATCAACGGTACGCGTATCGTTTACTGCCTTGTCAAACAGAACATCTGGCCCAGTCCTGGGACCGAACCAGTTTCTTCTCCAATGGCTATCATCTTGTGCAAGGAGGCTGAGGAGTACCATCGCGAGGGTACTTGGGATCGGACTTCAAGTCAACTGGGGCAGCTAAGTAAGTGTCCAGGACAGCCTTGGTGCGCTGTGGCGTATGGGACCAGGTTGGTGTGCATGTATAGGCGTACCCAAAAACTCGAGGGGTTTGAGATGTTTAGGATGGGAAGTTGGATGTTTGATGTTGGGATTTGGAATGGAAGAGCGTTGTTGAAGCAGCTTTTGGATGATTTCAAGTTTGGGAAGTGGAAGGCTATGAATAAAGGGAGGGGGCCGAACCTTCGGGGACTTTAGATGGGGGTAGGGCATGTCTGTGGCAAGGGAGGCATCTGTGACGTGCATCTGGTAGTGGAGAAGAAGGCATACCACGGTCTAATATTGACGAATTGTGGTGGTGGGTGGAGAAGCACGATGCACTTTCTATATTATCATATTGGCTATCACTGTTCGGCCATATTGATAGAATCATGAGGAACAATACCTCACTGTGGACAATAGGCCGTTAGAGGGCCACCAAAAAAAATGATTGAATGACCGACGTTACTTTATTTCCAGGATATATAATACGAAACTATAACATGTAAAACCAATAGGCAGCTGTTTAATGATAAACAATCACCAGTAAAGTCATAAGCATCGTGTCAGGTGACAGAGGTTACATGGTGTGAACTCTCAGTGACAGCAGACACTGGTCAGTAAACATGACGAGTAAGCAAATATGATAGATGCACATTCGTGTACATCAACGCGTGCAGAGCGGCAGCGGCAGCCGCAGCCTGGCAGGTGGGGCTTTAGCGCGGGACCTTAACTCCTACCCTCTTCGCACCATAGAACTCCTAACATTGATTGAATGATTCTCACGATTTGGATAGATTATCCTGCACCATCAAAATCTACATTCGACAATATGACATCTCAGCCCATATCCGTCTTCTTCCGTCACGTCACTCTATTCAGCGCGCTCACCGCTATCAAACCGGACTCGACCGTATCGCCTGTCAGCATCTTCTGGACGAACGCATGCATCGCCTTCTTTCCACTCTTTTCGGGATTCAAGGTCGCCGGCAATGAGGTAGTCTGGGGAGATGACAAACTGCCTGATTGCATCGTGCTACAAATCGCCATGGTTGACCCTTCCCCAGGGCCTCGGCGCAACGATACTGTTCCATCCGAAAAGCTAGTATTCGTTGTGCAGTGTCGAAGCTCTGAAAAGGACACTCCGTCCGAGTGGGAATCAGCAGAGGGTCAACTACTGGATTACTGCCTGGGGCACATCCGTGGAATAACGCGAATCTTTGCAGCCACGGCAATTGGAACCAGCGTCAGATTCTGGAGATACGACAAACCAGCACTCACGCCTTTATTTGCCAATGATAAGACCTATGATCTGCTTGATGGTTCTGATAGTTGTGAAGTTGAACAGTGTCTGAACTATATTCGAGAAAATGGATGGAACTGGGTGCAGAATGGCACCAGGCGGCCATGATAGCTTCAGGGACATCTTTTTAGTTCTGAAATGGTTTTCTGCTGCAGGGGAGATGTAAAAAGCATACTTTGTGAGGAGCCATGATACTGTTGTTTTGCATTGTCTTGAATTTTGTCCATCCTGGCCAAGATGTCACTATTTGATACTTTCGGGGAAACATGTGGAAAGTTTTCAAATCAAACGTTGTTCCGTAATTATCAGTTGATTACAAGCTAAGTGATATCATGGTGTGTGATGAACACGGTAGGATAAATGAATCAAGGTGTCTAACGGCTTCGATTATCATTATCGGTGGATACTTCAGCTCTGGCCAAATCTTAACATCTGGTGCCGCGGGTCATAGACAAGCAAGGCACTAGGTGATCAGGATAGCTTGACAGGGCTTCCGTAAATGTCAGAAATATAGAATTTGTTGGGACACATATCTCTCCGTCGCCTGGCTAGAACCACGCGATATATCGTTTTTGGTCTAGCGGTTCGTGCTTCGACAGAATTTGGCCTGAATTATTTAGGATGTTCTTACTTATCTCCTTGATCGCTACTTGGGTTGTCCACCTCTAGCTCGCTAGTCATAAATGCGGACAAAATCTCTGGAAAAGAAACAAACTGAAACCCACCTCAGCCATAAGTTTCAAAATCAAGTTAAACAATCCATAACAACAATTTGCTCCCTGAAATAATAATTTTCCATCATCCCCAAATGAGCCAACTCACCGCAACATGACAGACTATTCCCCGTTCAGCCCGATAAGATAACGTTATTATTAATAGAACCCACGAGATCCGTAAACCACTGGTCCATTTCTGCCCGGATACGAGATCCCCACAACCCGTAAGCTTACCTCCTTCCTCCTTGCTCTGGCTTTATAAACCCCATTATCCCTGATCCTTTCCATTTAATATTTGTCCCTCACAACTTCATCAAACTAACCAACCATGTCCCTCCCAACCGTTCTCATCACCGGCTGCAGCGCAGGCGGTATCGGCTCCGCCCTAGCCGAGGCCTTCCACGAGCGGAACCACCACGTCATTGCGACTGCCCGTTCCGAGGAGAAAATGTCCCATCTGTCAAAGTATCCCAACATGACGCTTCTCAAATTAGATGTGACTTCTGGCGATGATATTACTGCCGCTGTGGAAGCTGTGAAATCGCTTACCGGCGGAAAGCTCGACTACCTGGTTAACAACTCCGGTCTCCCGCTTACGTTTCCGGCACTGGAGACGGATATCGAGAAAGCCAGAGAGGTCTTTGATGTCAACTTCTGGGGTGTTGTGAGAATGGTGAACGCATTCTCCGAGATGATCATTGCAGCCAAGGGAGTTATCGCGAATCATTGCTCTATGGGTGGGGTCATGACGGTTCCGTGGAATGGTCTGTGTTCGAATTCCGCTACGGGGTGAGCAGGAGTTGGTGAAGATGATCTGGCTAATCCGTGAGATAGCATTCTACACATCTTCAAAAGCAGCATTGAAATCATATAGCGAGGGTCTACGCCATGAGCTCGCACCATTTGACGTCAAAGTCGTGACCATCATGACTGGTGTCGTGGGGTCGAATCTCTGGACTCGCGCACCGGAGTTGAATCTGGAGGGATCAAGGTATGCGCCTGCGACGAAGGAGATAATGGATATTGCGACGGGAGCGAATACAGGCGGCACCATGCCTTGCTCCGATTATGCCCGTCGGGTGGTTGATGATTTGGTGGGTGGGAAGACTGGGCTTATTTGGAGGGGGAAGATGGCCTCCATTGGGTGGTTTTTGACGTCGTTTATGCCGACGTGGGTTTTAGTATGTATCTCCTCTGCTGTCAATGGGTGAGTGTTTGCTAAATCAGTATAGGATATGATGACGAATCACATGAGTGGACTGGACAAGCTGGGTTGATGTGAGGAAGAGGTAGCAAAACTTATAAAGGCTACGGTGTTCTTGGTGTTGTAGGGGAGTTTTCTATTATTCAATCAGTGACTTGGAACCAAGACTTATTGCAGGGGCATATATGCTGTACGATCAATCAACATGGAATATCGGAAATGGGCGTCATGTTTAGACATATCTCCTTTCAAGAAGAATTTATATCATTTCTATCAGTCTACTTCTAATAACTTTGTCTTATCCCACAACCAAATCCGAATATGGATGTATCTACAGCCGAGAATTCAAATCTTCCCCACGACCCGACTGCTCTACCGCTGCGCGCCGAGCATCTTCGGCTTCGTAAGTTTCCCTCCACGCCTCCTCAACCTATGACTAAAGTCAGCATATTCAACCAGTATCTCCAATGGTAGCATACATTATAGCGATACAACCATCCATGATCGTCATCCCACTTATTCGCAACAATTATCGATACCGCTTCATTGAAATCGTTCGTCTTTTTCACCGACACATCCGATTTCCCATAACCATCCAAAATGTCATACTACAAGATCATGAGTAAATGTAGGCTCATATACTTTCCTGGGGGTGCTTACCATGGCAGCATAATGTGGAGCTCGAACTATATCGAACAGTTCCAGTCCGTCTTGTATTGGCAGTCCACGTTCGTGTGCCCATTTCACGGCGCGGGTAAGTACATAGACGTCCTCGAGTGCGAAGCCGGCGCCGGCGCCTAAACAAGTTAGTGAATTCTCTCACTAGTTTAGATGTTCACCCTTTACCGAATGCACCGGAAAGAGCTGTATATGGTTAGCATCTGGGAAACTCAGAGAATGATGAGGACATACGGTGCGATGCGTCCCCGACAAGTGCGATCGATCCATGAGAGATAACACTCGACAACCGTGGACCGGAGAAAAGGGCAAATTTCTTGACAACCTTGATCTTATCCAGTACGCTCTGAAGAGCGGGTGAAAAGTCCTACTCGATATGATCAGCAGAGAGTATACGGATTTGCATGAAAGGAATATACTTTGTATCTCCAGCTGAACTCCTCTACACTCGCATCCTGTCCCCAGCTCACAGGAGCAGTCTCCGCGGTCTGGGGAACTCGCGCGGCAATCTCATAAACATTGTTGTTCAAGTTGCAGGTGTACAGACGATCGGCTGGTCCATGCCAGAAGGTCACGGAGTCCGGGATCCCAGGTATGCTTAGGATGTCGCGGGCGTCTGTGAGTGCGCGATACGCCGTGGTTCCGATGTACTTAAGATGGTGTTCGGGGTGGGCGAATTGTCGGACAACCTAAAATGTGAGTGACGGGTCAAGTGTTGAACAGGGGTTGGTCACTGACTGATCGGACACCATCAGCTCCAACAAGAAGGTCCACCTCGTCGGTGTGGCCGTCTTCAAAGCGTAGGAAGAATGCTTCGGAGGGAAGCTGGGCGACTTCTACCAGTCGACTTGACAGTCGTAGCTTTGATTTGTCAACACCTTTCAGCAGGGCTTGTTGAAGTACGGAGCGAAGCGTGCGAGCATGAAGATAGCGAGAAGGTGTGCCTGATACGGTCAGATGCCAGGCAATTCAAGTTTTGGGGGTCCATACCTTCCTGTCCCTTTGACAACAATAGCTCCCCAGTCTTCCCGTTTCTACATGCCAATTGCTCAGTCATGTCCTTTTTTAAGAGGCAGAATACCCACCGATGCTGAACTGCATGTCCATCTGCAGGACGAAACAAGTCTTTTGGATCGACATTGTCATACACCCCAAATAGGTCGAGCATGCGCCACGTATTCTGTTGAATGCTGATTCCTGCACCGACTTCCCGAAGCTCCCGGGCCTGCTCGTAAACACGTAATTCAACAAAGGGTAGTTTGGCAAATTCAATAGCCGCTCCAAGGCCTGCTGGACCGGCCCCAATTATAGCAACCCGCAGCTTAGCTGGAGATCCCGAGTCTAAAGTCATCTTGTGTGGCCGAATGCGAGAACTTTGGTACTCGGAGCGAAATGCACGTCCGGGTCTTGTTCGACAATCTTACGGATAACGGCCGCATTTAAGTAATCTGCCACCTTTATGCATTTGGCTAGGTTCGTGGCAATTGGAGACAATGATAGGTTCGATAAGGTGGCAGACAGGGAATTGTCATTATCAATCATAGTATGGAATTGCGTGATTGGCGTTGGTTGTGGCGTGGAGAGGCGGGGTTGTGGTCCGGGTTTCAGGAACCGCGATGGACTGCTTTAATGGTAATGTTAAGGTGTTGCAATATAATTTGCGATAGTTATAAACACCGATTTCATATACCAATCTAAACGATCTGACCGGAATTAAGGAGACTGCGGGTATTGGCATCGCAATCACTCAATCATGAGCAGCATTTTCAATTGCTTCACCAAGACGCTCATTCTGATCCTGAAATTGTGAAAGACAGCGTCTACACGCATATATACCGCGAGTCACAAAACATTTCAACTTGAACGATCTGACATTAGTAGCAGCATCATACCGTGACAAGACCATCAGTAGCCCATCGAGTTGGAATGAATCATCCAGTAAGCTCATAGGACTCCCTGACAAACATAGTTTATCAGAATATTGCCTATTTCAAAATTTTGGGAAGATCAAAATATTAGGAGAATGGGTCCAGCAAACCGAGGTTATTCAGACCGGATGTTGCCCTGGAATGTCACTGACCGATGCTGATTGGTCAACGGAGCATTCACGCTGTGTTTGGCGATCTTGGCTCCACCGAACCAGAAGACGCCCACAGCTAAAGTATGAACAGTCGGTTGGGATTCTTCCCAATAGAATAATTGTCCTTACATTTTACTATTTAACAAGTCACAACTAACCCATGATGTCTACAGCTACTGTTCCTTGGCACGCAGCCTATCCCGCACCCCGGAGCACGGCAATCAGTATCCCTCGCGAGGAGGTACTAGGATGGTTTCGCTCAGGTAGACAGCCCGGACGTGATTTCCTATTAATAGACCTACGTCGGACGGATTTCGAGGTAAGTTAGTAGATCGGGATAAAAGGTGAATGTAATTGACATGCGTTTTCAGGGAGGTACCATCCGAGGATCCATCAATCTCCCAGCCCAGACTCTGTACCCTGCAATCCCAACACTCTATTCTCTTCTCAGCCAAAGCCAGGCTACAAAGGTTATCTGGTACTGTGGTATGTTATATATTATTGCTTCCTCTCATTGAAGAGCGGTGGGGTGTGCTCACTAGACTCAGGTTCATCGAAGGGCCGTGGAGTGCGAGCTGCGAGTTGGTTTGCCGACTACATTGAGCAGCAACAAGACACTCAGATGAGAAGTCTTGTGCTAGAAGGGGGTATTAAAGGATGGGTGGCAGCAGGCAAAGAATACACGGATTTTATGGATGAGTACGCCGCATCTGCATGGACTGCATAGATTGACTAGTTTGATGCATTCTACTGGTTGATGGCGGCAATGACAGTCAAGGGGCTGTTCTAGACAATTTATATCTATTCAAATAACTGGAAGTCCGATTAGTTATTTACAGAACATGACGTTTTACATCAGACATCATACTTGTTTGGCTCGTTCCTTCATCTCCTTGATCCGCTTCTCTTCCCGCTCGCTGAACCGATCACCAAAAAGGTCCAGGTGAGGTCGCATGAGGATGGTATATTTCACGAACTCCTCCATACAATCAACCAGCCGGTCCCGGTTACCACTAGGGAGAAGTCTCTGGTCCCCCGGTTGACCTTCAGCGGGGAAATGCGTATATGCCTTCGGGATAGATGACTGATTGGGAATTGTAAACAAGCGCATCCACCTTCCGAGAATCCGCAGGGAATTGACAGCATTGAACGATTGCGACCCGCCACATACTTGCGCGATAGCAAGCGTCCGGCCCTGTGTGGGACGCACGCTGCCTGTGGTTAACGGGATCCAATCGATCTGATTTTTGAATACGGCGGTCTTGGGGTGGATTAGTAATTGAAGTAGTAAGACGTGAGGGAAGGGATGCCAACCAGGTTGCCATGCTGTTCAGGTGATATCCAAACATGCCCATCGCTCCATTTACTGAGGTCTCGGAGTTCCTGCACCTTAGGATGGTCGTGGTCGGTATCATTTTTGACTGGTAAACCGTCGGGATTGAACACGCGGACATCGCACCCTAGGCGGAACAGAATCCTGCTAGCTTCCAATGCCACGAGACGCGAATAAGATCTTTGGCGGAGACTGCCGTACAACACTAGCACTTTCAATCTGTTGTTTGATTGTCGCAGCTCCTGCGCTGCCATCTCCATGGCGGTTGTTAACTCTAACTTATTGACCCAGTCGTCAGATGCGCCATCGTCAAGAAGAAGAAAGGGGCGATATTTATGGCGAATATTGGCGTCATCCTCGCTCTCAGATATTGCGAGAGATGGGAGTTTGTTAATGAATGAGGGGATAGTAGGCCCAGGTTGAGCAGTAGCGGAATACGCCATTGTGCTGTATCTCCTGGGAACCGATAGTATCACTGAATGAATGAATGGAGTGAACCCGTGCAACGAGGGAGGTTGTAGACGGCCAAGCATTGGGTATTTTAGTATAACACTTTCTGGGCTCGGGTCAAGATATACTTTTAGTGAAGTGTGATGATTTATGTTCGTAGACCCAAACATGTAAGCTCCCAGGGCAGCCGGCGGCAAGTATGTCACTGGCGTACGCTGATTGGATGATGCTCCCTTCCTGCGAAGGTGCACTAGTACCAACGAAAGTGGATCGAGGTCCCCGGCCATAGTGGAGTCACACGCGACGAGTTCGGATGTTATTGCATCTGGCTTGTGGAATTTGTCACAGCACGCAGTTTTACTCCCATCGCTCTCATACTCATACTACATATGAATAACATCCGATCAATAGTAACTAATTTAAGGCAAGACTACAGGCTTATCTGGGTGGTAGGCACCAAGGAACTCCAGCTCTCATACAGATGATTCCTTCAATCAAGCCATCTTGGGCTTCACGGCATATATTTGGAAAGAACCTTGACAAAGTGTCAGTGGCCTATAACCCGGGATCGAAGAAGGTGCTAACTGACCAACCCACTCATTGAAGTCTAACTCCGCTATCACATTCGGAGATCCAATACCGCATCCACCGCTGCAGCACGAGCTCTGGGGTAAATACGACGACTGTTTATAGAGGTTAAGGTCCGATTTGGTATCCACAATAAACACGCCTGCCATTATATTAGAACGGGGGCCTCTTTTTATGGTGGTATATGTACCTTCAAACCCGGCCTGCCTGAGATACTCGTCGTACAATCCAATCTGACTAGCCCCAGCAACACACCCGATATAAAGCGCCATGCTTTTGGTAATGGTATCCGGGAGCGGTTTCCTAGCCAGGATATCACTGATTGCTACTCTTCCACCCGGCTTCAGGAGTCGAGCGATCTCCTTAAAAACAGCCTCTTTGTCTGTCGCCGGCACCAGGTTGATAACACAGTTGCTGATAATGCAGTCAATGCTGGAGTCAGGCAGCGGTATGCAGTTGACATTGGATTCGATAATCTTTGCATTGGACAGGCCGGCCTTTTCGATATTCTTCTTGGCGAGTTGGATCATATTCTAAGTTTACAGTCAGCCCTGCTTCTGCAAGGCGAAGGTCTTGGCGCACTCACTTCTGTCATGTCAATGCCGATGGCCTGTCCATTGTGGCCAATTTTATGAGCCGCCAGAAGGACATCAATGCCGCTACCACTGCCAAGATCCAGAACCGTTTCGCCCTACTTAGAAGGTTAGAACCTATTTGTTGGCGCTCGTGGCATCAGGTAGCAAAGCCAAACCTCTTTCAAGTTCGCGAAACCAACGGGATTTCCACAGCTTAAACCGAGGTTTGCCTTCTCTGGCAGCGCACTAAGATCCCCCGCAGTGTAGCCGAATGCCCTGGCGATATTCTCTTCTACTTCGCTCGGCTGGGTGTTATCACTGTATTTAGCAATACCCCCATAGCGCGATTGAACGATATTGTAGGTATCTCCAGACATATTGTGGAAGAATAATCGATCTGTGAGGATAAATTGTTGAAGGGGGCTTTTGCGGAGTGGGATTAGCAGGACATCTGGGGTGCGGACGGGAGGTATTCCAAGTGTCTTTATATCCAAGGGCGAGGGCAACAATCAATAGCCCTTGGTCCTATTTTCCGGACAATTATGGCTCGTAACAAGTTCGCTTCTGTATATTATTGGTGTCATTTTCATACGTGGTATGTCATCAGTTGGGTCAAGGGAAAGTGGTATGTCACCATTTTCGGCGTGGAGTTCCCCGCACGCCGAGAGCCTTTGACCAATAGAAGCGCATGATTTGGAGCCATTTCCACTCTTTCTTCCCCCATCGGAGCAGGAGCATCGTTGTTAATTCCAACGCAGCTGCTACAAGACCTGACGAAAGGCTCGTTAGCGATGCTTGGTGGCTGATAGTAGCTCTATTTAATTCTGGAGCGCAGGAGCATCAGAGACATAAATTCTGTGCTACGTTCTACCATGCCCCGCAAAAAACAGAAGACCAAAGCATGGTGATCCCGTTTCTGCATCAATTGCAATGCGATATCTAACTTCAGCTAGGCGGAGGACCTGGCCCGCGTGCGCAACAACCAGCGCCGCTGCAGACAGCGAAAACGCGATCATGTAGCTGAGCTAGAACATGAACTTGCATCCATCAAGGAGGCTACTTCCCGTGAGATCCTGGGACTGCGGTCTCTTACGGACAGCCTTCGTCGAGAGAACGAAAGTCTAACGGCTCTACTCGATCTCCGCGGCATCGACCACAAAATACCTAGGGTCAGCAGGCAAGCAGAGTACGATAATAACGTCATAGGCGATATATGCAGGGATCCGGCTCTGTTGATGGACGAGACTAGCTTGGGTGCGTGAGCTAAATCCCCTGCTATTTATCTACGAGCATATGGCCTACCTTATCAAACACCTTCTGGGTATTATATCTGATACTTCTGAATTCTCAGTGGGGCCAGCAAAAGACACACCAATGGGACAGATTTCCCAGCTCTGCTACTGTCCATCGAAGGGTTCTTCTTCTGTTTCGTTTGAAGACCTCCTCAAAGATTCCAACTGCCTCCCGATTCCACCACAGGTGGCGCCAATTTCTGCGTCTTTTTATGACCCAGGTACCGATGTACTGGAAACCGTCCTGAGAAATGAGGTGTCGGAAGACAAGTACGAAGACACGACGGTGTGTGCCGTAGCTTTGGAGCTGGTCATGAGTTGCAACACTAAGAACCTAAGTATACTGGACCTTGATATGCGTCTTCGGTCGGGGTATAGGAGCGCGCGCTTCCAATGGGAGGGCTGCAGAGTCGATAATCAGGTCCTGTTTGCTGTCTTTGCTGAACTTACGTGAAGACGGCGTGGTCTAGCAGAATGGGACAGACTAGGATGAATGATGCTATTTAAGGTCCTGCTTCCTAGGGTGGAATACTTTCTTGGCAGGCGCGCATTTGGGAGTAAGAAATACGAGTCAACAATTGACCACCATCTCCCCTCATTTTGGCCACATGTTTGTTTCGTATCACATCCGGGGAAAGGATAGGCTATACAGGGCAAGACATATTCGAAGCCTCTAGTATCGATCATGCAATGGAATGACCTCATTGGAGTTAGGCCTTGCGTCTACACGCAAATCTTTGTGTTTGATGTTAAGAACCGGGAGAAACTAACTATATCTTTGGCTGTAATGCTTGGAAACCGCGAAGCCTTTCCCATCGAGGCACCTATTTCGATACTTTTTAAAAGTAATGGTCTTTGGCTCAACACATGAAATGTCACTAGCTCCAGAGCTTGGATAAACTAAACTGACTCATAGCTTCGTTCATATACATCCTAATGACACCGACTCTGCCACAATATAGATACATCCATTCGCTCTCATGAATCAGCTCATCTCCTGAGTAATCGAATCCGGAATCTCCCCGCGAATAAACTTAACAGGAATGTCGATATTAACCACCCCCTTCAGGCCCACATACTCCGGGCGTGACAACAGTTCAATCATCACGAAGTCACCATCATCCACACTGTTGAACAGGTGATGAGCTCCTGATATAGGCAAGCGCCATTTCCACCAGATCTCATCCTCTGATACATTTGCATCACCTGGGATATTGAATGGCAACTCGGCATCTTTCAGACTCTGGGCCCAGAGGGAGAGCTCTTCGTTGTAATGCAAAACAATTGTTGAGTCCTGTCTAGACTGTTCATCCATTACAGCAATGCAGTAGGATTGCAACATGCCTTCGTTTCCGTGTTCCCTGAGCTCTGAGATCTTGTTTCGGGCCCAGAGGCGAAGCTCGGTGTCTGTCTCGTCTTTAAAGCCAGTGGAAAAGTCACTGATTGGAAGTTCGGTGCCATAACTCTCGAAGCTCGCTTGTCCCGGTGTGTGGACAACGCAGAAGAGGTTGGGACAGTCAGGGCTATGGTACCGAGCGAATTGGTCCATGAAGCTATTCAATATCTTGATAAGGCACATCAGACTACCACAAGAGATAAAATAGATGATCTTACACTGGCCTGTACATCTGCAGTGCAGAAGAGGAAGAATACGGACATTGCGTGATACGGTGACGATGAAGAAGCAATCTGCAATGGGGATATGGAGTGGAGAGAGAATAGGAATACTGGTAAGGAGAAGAAGGACAGGTAGCGGACTCGCTGATGCCCGACAGGTGACAAAGAACAGCTTGTTGGTCAAGTGACAAGGATTACACGGGACAGGCCGGCGCCCCTCCGACTTGTTTATGTAAATGCCATCCTCCTTTATAGGATTCCACTAGGGTACCCCCTGTTGTAGCCTACCACGCTAGCCAATATCTGTATGTATAGGAGTATGGGCCGGTCGCCATCCTGCAGTGTTGCCGAGACGCTTAGCACTTCAGCTGAGTCCCACATGATACATTAGGCTCGGGTGTAACAAAGAGACGGATAGCTTGAGTCTCTGGAACCCTCGTGTTGGTATTACTGACCTCGACACCCTTTTGCTATCGTGCAATTCCGCTTGGTACCAGCCGGCCTATTTCAGTTTGCGTTCGTGACCTCCCGGACGTCAAATGCTCACAGAAGTACATGTTGCCACTTGTTACTGGGACCTGTCATTCACTTTGTGTCTCGATCAATACGAGATAGGCCAAGCGCCGGTAGCTACATTAATTGAAGCCGTCCTGGATGAAACTGTGGGCTTACCCGACCCCATAACAAGATTATCAGTACCTCTTAACTTCATATGAAACGGTCGATCGTAACTCGAATTTCCCAATGTACAAAAGAAGGATGCAAGAATGCCGACAAAGACGGACTCACAGGTTATGACTTTATTCTCCTCCCAACCACTACGCTGATCAGTCGTGGAGCTCTCTCAGTTATTCCTACAGACTAACAACTAAAGCTGTACTCTACATAAACCCAAGTGAGGGTTTGTCTAGCACATACGACCATAGGGTGTGGAAAACAGGGCTTCCCGTCCGCTCAGCCGTACTTAAGCCACACGCCGGGAGGTTAGTAGTTGGGTGGGTGACCACCAGCGAATCCCTTCTGTTGTATGTTTTTGCCTTTATTTTTGGCGTTTACTCAATTAAATGCTTTGGAAGCCAATCAGATCCCAAGAAGTCCATCACTCGGGTTTCGTTCGGTCTGTGATGGTTTCCCGCAGCCAAGCAATTGGCCCTGGATTACACCCGTCGGACAGCACGACGGCTAGTGTTTGATACCGCCGAGCCGGGATATTAATCAACAACAGGGTTTCGCACAGGACTAGATCAATTACAGGAAATGGTGTGGTGCATCCTCTCAAATATTTTACTAAAGAGGGGTTGCCCGTATGTATGTAGCCCGAGGCTCGGTATTGCAACTGCTTGCTGCTTCACTAATTTGAACCGGTATGCTTATGACATATCTTGATGGAGAACTACAAAACCTCAACGAGCCTCAAGTGAGCATGGGTAGCTAATACTGATTCATCACAATCGGTTTACTGTAGGGATAAGTTATCATGCGACATACATAAGACATCGAAACCAACATCGACGACATACGTGGACAGGCTGAGTGTTGGCTGCGCACAGTGGGGACAATACGATCAACCAGGAACGCAAAGAACGCCTCTAGGATCAAGTTTCAGAAGCCACATGGACAAACGGTCAGACCACCGTGCTCCAATAATTCCTAATCGTAGTTAGATCCTGGGTGAAACAGACTTCGTGATGCGCCGCCATCCCAACTCATGTCTCGGATATGCTTACTATTTGATTACTACACCACCTTTGACACCAGATTATCCCACGACATGTCAAACTCAAAGTAATCAATTGTCAGCAACCTGATACTGTGCTTACGGGCCCCTTATAAGGAAGTGCCCTGGCCGATCCATATGCAGGGGCACTCTACTCCCACGTGGGAAATGCATGGCATTTGAAAAGGCCCAGTTCTGAAACTGAAAATCGCCAGTTTCACAATCTTCTATCATTCGTTACATCCCGAAGGCTTCTGCATCGGACAGAAAGAACACCATGTCGATTCAAAACATCCTACTTGCAGCCGCGGGCGGCGCAACACTCTTGGTACGAGCACGATCTCCCTCTTGGCGGAGTTTACCATCCTCTCTCAATGTCCATGACTAACGTCCCAGCAGGTCCTTGGAAGAATAATCTACCTCCTCTTCCTTCACCCTCTTGCAAAATTTCCAGGTCCAATTTGGGCTCGTCTTACAGATGGCTACGGCGCCTACCACTCCTGGCTAGGCGACGCCCACCTCGACATGTGGCGACTGCACGAGAAACACGGCGACTTCGTGCGCTACATGCCCAATTCAGTCTTCATTCGCAACGCAGATGCGCTGCACGCCATTTACTCGACCAAAGCGTATGCATCGGTGGTGAAGAGCCCTCACTACCAAGTTCTCCAGGCCGGCAGCGTGGGCAGCACATTCAGCCTGCGCGGCGGACATGATCACCTGCGGCGACGACGGATCGTCTCGACTGCGCTATCCGAGAAGGCCCAGCGCGGCATGGACCCGCGCATCGCAGTGCACGTACGCAAGTTCTGCGAGGCCGTGCTCCCGGCGCGTTCTGGTGAGCTGGGCGAGCCGATGAACATGGCCGAATGGTGCGGCTACCTCACTTTTGATCTGATGTCAGACCTGGTCTTCAGCGCAAGCTACAACCTGCTTGGTCGCGAAAAGTTCCGCTACATGCCCGAGGTCATCGACAAATCGAACGTGCGCATGTCCGTGCTCGCGTATATGCCTATCATTGCCGCATGGCGCGCCGTCGACGCCATTTTCTTCCGCGACGCCCTCATCGCCCGCAACCGCTTCCTCCGGTTCGTCGTGCGTGCTGTTCGCGAACGCGCTAACCGCGCCCTGGGCAAGTGGGCGCCAGACGCCTTGGACCCATGCAAGCCCCGCGATGATATCTACAGCTCACTGGCGAAGGCCCGGGACCCGGACACGGGTGAGGGATTCACAGCATCGGAGATGGTCAGCGAAAGCACGACGCTGGTAGTTGCCGGGTCCGACACTACTTCGACGGCGATCGCGGCGACGTTGTTCTACCTGGCGGATAACCGCTATGCGTATGAGAAGGCCGCGAAGGAGGTGCGTGAGGTTTTCGCGGGCAAGACACTGGGTCCCGAAGAAGTGCTCTCAGGCCCGGAGCTCTCATCGTGTAGCTACCTGCGGGCCTGTATTGATGAAGCCCTGCGCATGAGTCCCCCTAACGGTGCGGCGCTGACGAGAGAAGTTCTGCCGGGTGGGTTGACTGTCGGCGACGTTTACATCCCCGGAGGTGTAACGGTTGCGGTTCCACTGTATGCCATCCATCACGATGAGCGCTACTATGTGGATCCCTTCACCTACCGACCGGAGCGGTGGCTCGAGGATGATGGAACTGGCAGCGTCAAGCGGGCGAGACTCGTCTTCAACCCCTTCTCGCTGGGTATGCGCGGCTGTCTCGGTCGCAGCTTGGCCTACCACGAACTGATGACCACGGTGGCCACTGTGTTGTACCTGGGAGAATTCAAATTCGCTGAGGGACCGATGAGCAAGGTCGGTCGCGGAGTACCTGGGGCGGACCACGGGCGACACCGTGAGAACGAGTACCAGTTGCACGAACACATCACCGGTCAGAAGCATGGGCCGTGGCTGAGGTTTTCCAGGCGCGAGATTTCTGCTTAATTATTTTCCCTTTCATTTATCTATCTTGTTCTTCTTGTTGCATATTACGGTTGGGAATAGGGTTTGTAAATCTAGTGCAAAATGAGGCAAGTGGTCTTGGCTTAACCCAAGCCGCAAGGAGTGGTTTTTGTACGTTTGGAGATTCGCGGAGTTCTTTGATATATCCTTCATTTTGGCTTTCTATACCTTCATTATATACTACTATCCCTTAAATACATCTTTCTTTGTTTCTACATATCTTCATTCATAGACCGAACATGGTAGCAAGTATGAATACTTTGCGTAGCCAGGATTGTGGTCACGGTCCGATTTCATAATATATATCCGAGTACACGCTCCACCTACTACAATGGCACCAAATTTCGCAGTTCTTGTGAGGAAAAAAGTGTACAACATATAAGTACATCCGACCTAACCTATCTACTACCACACAGTACAGTACAGCTACAATTAGACAGGTAATGCTCCCTAACCTACACTACAAATCAAACACAGAATATTCTAGAATTTCCGAGTCATCAAGCTGAAACAAGTGCCTATGCTATCCGACTAAGACCCTAGCGACAAGTCATAGATCAGAATCACATTCTCAGACCTTGAGTAAGCAATAGTAATCTGATTCTTAAGGTTGAAACCATCTCGCGTGGCATCCACGTGGACCGGTTCCTGAACCTGAAGATCGACAGGAGGAGGGATAAGCAGCGATCTTCACCCATTTCATTACTAGTATATGAATTGAGGTGAATTTATTACGAGCTTACGATAATCATTAGTGTGATAATTGCAAGGGTGATGATTTCTTCCTGACTGTTCCCTTATTCTTCGTTTATGACGCAATATTCGGCCCCCATGTCAAGAGGAGGCTGTGCTGCTGGTAGAGGCTTCCGACAAGGCTGTTTTGGGGCGACGGACTTCGATACGTCGCAATCGAAAGGTCTTTCACAATTTGACGAGGGAAGGTTGTCTACTCGATCTCCGTGTTCTCAACCATGGTCATCTGGTAAAATGAAGGGAAGTTTGATTCCACAAATCAGGAAGGGACAGATTCCTCTCAAACTGAGATTTGCATCACAATAAAGAGGCGACAAAGTATCTCCTTCAACTAGAGCATACTGTAGAGGAACACTTATGTGTTCTTTATGCGTTGTCTCGGCACCGAACTGAAGTCTACACTATATTATGGGGGGCTGGATTTGTATGTAGCCATTAATGAAACTGCATGCGCTGTGAAATATGTACTACTCTAGATTAAATTACAATAACCATAACCACGCTCCAACCAATTGAAAACACCAATACAACAATCAAATCCAAGTATTCAACTGCTCATCCACAACCACCGTCCTCGTCTGACTCTCCGCCGAAGATGTTGTCTCCATCGCAGAGCTGTAGTCGCCATCCTCATCCACCTCGTTATGATCATAGTGATCTTCGTAGGCGGGACAAGCCTCGTCCTCATCCACCTCACCATGCATATCCCGATACAACCTCCGGAACAGTGTGTCTCCGGTCACCAACTGCTTGGGCGTACCCCACTCCGCCAACCGGCCGGCATCAATCACGGCGATACGATCAAAATCCATGATTGTGTCCAGTCGATGAGCCACGGTGATGATAGTATGGCTGGCGAAGCGCGACCGGATGATCCGCTGCATCATGGCATCCGTCTCGACGTCCACGGCGGCGGTAGGCTCGTCAAGGACGAGTATTGTCGAGCGGCGGAGGGCAGCACGACCGAGACAGATGAGCTGGCGTTGACCGTGGGATATGGCGGTGGTGGGCATGGGCGCGTTAAGAACATCGCTGTTCTTGATAGGAAGTGGAGGGGGGGTATCACCAGGAGCGGCAATCTTCTCCTGAACCTCATCCTTCTTCTCCTCCGCCTCAACAAGCTCCAAAAGCACCTCCCAGAGTCCGACTTCACGTAGAACATCCATGATCTCCTCATCCGTCCTTTCCTCCCTAGGATCCAGATTGAATCTCACCGATCCAGGCAAGAGACAGGCATCTTGAGGGATAGCAATAATTCTCTCGCGCACGAGATCGCGACTGACCGACGCTAAATCCACACCATCGACGATAATTCTCCCCGAATCCATCTCCAACATTCGAAACAGCGTAGCAACGAGACTGCTCTTCCCACTGCCACTCCGTCCACAAACTCCAATTCGCTGGCCCGGTTCAATTCGCAACGAAATGCCCTTCAATACCGGCTCCACTTCTTCCTCTTCCTCCCTATCCTCGCCATCACCAGAAGAAGAATAAGAAGCAACCACTGCATCAAAAACCAGCTCTCCCCTTTCGGGCCAATTTGGCCCAACACTCCCCTCTCCCGCTTCACCATCCTTATGCTCACTACCTACCCGCCCAACGAATGACCTCACGCGACTTACCGCACCGACACTCGTCTCCAGCTGCGCCCAGAACACAATGAGCTTTTTGATGGCGCTACCAAACCCGACAATATTGATCAGCGCCAATCCGATCAGCCCGGAATCCGTTGACCCCTTGGTCTTGACCGCGATTGTGGCAAGCACCACCGCTATTCCAGCCGCCACCAGGTCTAGCATCAGCCCGAGCCACTGCTGCACCGACAGTAATGCATAAAATGGCTTCTGAGACTCATTGATTTTATGCAGATTCCGTCGCGTATACGCCTCCTGCCAGCCGTAGGCTCGAATGGTGACGAGCCCGGAGAGGGTTTCTAAGAAGTGGGAGAACAGCGGGGCCTTGGCCTCCACGTCAAGGAGACGGAGGATGCGTGAGGTGCGGAGGTAGAAAACCTGGAGGCCAGCCACGGTGGCCAGGATGAAGGGCAACGCCGCACCCAGATACTTGGAAGTGACGGCCATGAGTATGGTTTGGGCGAGGATGATGCACAGGATCATGGTGGTTTGCACTACCGAGACGGGCAGCTCGAGGTCGATGAGTTCGAGGTCTTGGCTGAAACGGTTGGTCAAGGAGCCCTTATCCGTCGTGTAGAAGAGGGACATCGGGGCTTGGAGGACGGTCTGAAGGAGTCGTGTGTGGATAGTCCGTGCCACGCGCGGAGCCAGGGCCATGACGAAGAAGGTACATCCGGTGACCAGGGATAGGGTGGCCATCAGACCAAGTACGAAGTAAATGCCCCAGTAGTATCCCGCCTTGTCGTTGGGGTACTTGGTATTGTGGTTTCCCCACCACTCAGCCCATACTTGCGAGAAGACGATCACGAACCCGAATACCGCACTGATGAAAATGAAGAAAGCCAGTCGCGGCCAGCCGAAGCACTCCACATAGTAGGCATACACTGACCAATCGCGGGCGGGGATTTCGTTCATATCCATACTTGGGAGCACGGCTTGGGATTCGTTGTCGGGGATCGTTTCGAGTGTGGCGCTGCTTTCTTGGGGCTTGTGGTGGGCTGCTTGACGCTCGCGGACTTCTAGTCCCCGGATATACCCGCCATGGGACCGCCGGGCCAGGTCGGTGAAGGTTCCTTGCTCGACGATGGTGCCTTTGGGGCCCAAAGCGAGAATGTAGTCGGCTTCGGGGAGGAAGTGAACAGCGTGGCTGGCCAAGATGACAGTCACGCCGTGGCGAGCGAGAAGCCCATGGCGGCCGAAGAGGGAGGAGAAGATGTACTTCTCCGTGGTTGCGTCGAGACCACTCAGGATGTCGTCCAGCACAATCGTACGCTTACGCGAATAGATAGCGCGAGCGAGGGAGATGCGCACCTGCTGGCCACCACTGAGACCGATACCCGAACTCCCCACGATCGTCTGGTCTCCCTGTGGAAGCTGCGCCAAGTCGAGACTCAACGCGCACGCTTGCACCACAGTGGCATACCACCGCGGATCCAACGCGAAGTCGCCCGTGATGTTCTGCTGGACCGTGGTATTGATCACCCAGGGCGACTGCGAACAAAACGCCGCTTCGTCCAGAGACCCGATGATCGAGCCTGCAGAAACCTTGGTCTCCCGCAAGAGTGTATACAACAGCGTCGATTTACCAGAGCCCACGGACCCAACGACCATCGTTAGTTGGCCCCGCGGCACCTTGAACGACATGTCCCGGAGCACGACCATCCCATCCTTCCACCCGGCTGAGACCTTTTTAAATTCAATAACCGGCTCGGGGATGATGCGTCGCGTGCGTCGGCGACTCCGCGCAGATCTCATCGAACCAACACCTGAAACGACACGGCCTGCATTGCCCGGCCCATTACCTCCACCAATTCCTCCTCTTTCCTCTCCCAAGAACCTGGACGCTCGCCCCTGTTCACCAGAATAATCGGCCAAAAGCCAACTAAACCGAAATTCAGCGACCTCGATAGTTGGTAAGACCAAGCTAGGAATCGTCCGCCGTCTCTCTCGACGGGCAAGGCTCTCCACCTCGCTACTACTACTTGATCCGCCGGTAGCAGCACGAGCTTTCTCCCCGTCGACCTTGGTCTCCTGTCCTAGATAATCTTGAATGCGGCGGAAGCATCCCAACGCGCCCACAAACCCGGCAAGACTGTCAATCAACATCGCCAGGGGCACGAGCAACAACTGCAGGAGCACCAAAGAAGTCAACACCAGCGATGTACTCATAACCGCATAGCCTTGGAACCGCTGTAATAGGATATACAAGCCAAACGCGGCGACCGGGTTCATGGCCTCGGAGACATTGGACAGAGTGACGAGCTTCACCAAGATCAACCGGAACGTAGACGACGCTTTGACTTCCTCCTCGCGCAGCTGCCGGATCTTGTCGCCCAGCGGCTGCGTCAGCCCCGTCATCTTGACTGCCTTCATCACACCAAGCATACTGGCTGTCGCGGCGACGCGCGACTGGATCTGGTCCAGCCAGGCCTTCTGGGCGATACCTGCACCAGTGGCGACCCAGATGGCCAAGCCAGTGGAGACAACGGCAACAGCGGAGGCACCGAGGACGGCGAGATCGAGCATGCCGGCCAGAAGCCAGATGGCAATACCCATCTGGATGAGGTTGGCCCAGAGCTCCGGAAACGTGCGAAGGCCGCTAGTGATGCGCTCCACGTCGGTACTCATTAGCGTCACTGCATCGGCGCCATCGAGTGCCGTGGGAATCATCTCCAGGGTATGTCGGTAGATGAGATCGACTAGCCCTGCCCGCATGCGCGTGATCATCCGGAAGGTCCAGTGCTGCGCTAGGGCGGTCGTCACCGCGATGCCGATGTAGACGATCACGTAGACCACGATAAGTCCTGTGCCGACCGATGGCCGGTTCTCGTACCCCTCATTTTCGATATAGCTGAGTGTTCGTTGTAGGATGAATGGTTGCGCAACGGTGAAAGCGATCTGGGCGAGGCGTGGCAGGATGGACTTCAGCAGTGGTACCCGGGCATGCACGAGACAAATTAGCAGTAAGGGTGGATTGCGGAGTTTCGATTTCCCTAAAGAGTGGTCAGACTTGGTCCAACGTGTGGATGAATGAACGAAGGCAAAACTCACAATACTTCCACATTTCCGCCAAAGTATCCCCATCCTCCTTGTCGTTTGCTTTCAAGCTTGGGTCGACATCGAATAACGTGTCCATAGACAGCTGCTTCTTGAAGCCCCTTAGGAAGATCGGATTCAGCCACCATGAGAACCACAGATTCAGCTCGCCAGCAGTAGCTTCAAAAGGCAGAAACTTGAACTTGTCTAGCAAGATACCGCGCTTTTCGGCCGCCTCCAGGCCGAACAGGACGGCTTTGACACCGACGGCGATGCTCAGCACAATGGCCACCTTTTCGCCCGACTGTACCCCCCAGAGAGTACGACAGCGCGCGGCGTCGAATATCAACGTCAGAGCCAGGTACTGTACCAGCAGTCCTGATGGACGCACGCTGCGAACATGTTGCCAGTGCGAGAAAAAGGTGAGTCCGATTTCCAGGAGCAGGACAACAACATTAGCCGCGATTGATGTCCGTGTCGTAGGGCCCTTGCTGGCGGTTAGGGCTACTAGCACGAGCGTAACTGTTGATATGGCAAACCAGCCAGCCTAAATTCATTGTGTATAAGATTAGTCCTGTTGCTTTGCGTTATCGTCATAGGGGCAAATCTCATACCAGCTTAGCCACATGATGCCACGATTCCACCACCTTCCTCTCTTCATTCTTCAATCGCAACAGAAATAAAGGTAACAGAAATAATGTGATACCCGCAGGCACAAGAGTGAGGATAGACTCTTCGAACAGCAAAGTGAAGTCGAAACCATCATAGCAGTCGGCGGCGGGGCCAAACCCCGTCTCGACGTCGACCGGACATTTGGATGCTTGAGCGCCCATGGTGTTGAGCTACCCCTGTAGAAAATTCTATGTGCATGAAGTGGAGAGAGATAGGTCTTTTCCTACATGATCTAGCTATGTTTGATCAGCAATTTGCTTGCTTGTCACAGAGGCTGTGGGTGGATGCCTACGAACTGGTTCCATCTCGTGACGTTCTGGAAGGGTTCAACTTACTATGCAGTGAATTTAGTGCGTAGTAAGCAATATCTACCGGGGAATAAACCATGTCAAACACGTGGTGATGGTTGAATAGTAAAAAATAAGCGTAAGATAGAGTGGGCGGCGGTGACACTAGCCGTCTACAGTAATGCCCTAGAATCATGTGCTGACTGTTCTGGAACACTGCAACTTGAAACACAACGCTAATAATAACGGTTAAATGAGATTAATCTTCCAAACCAGTTACTAGAAGTGCTAGCTCTTAGTCAGATTATTGTGTGGTTACTACCCAAAGGTCATGGGGGCAGTGTTGTGATTAAATCGTTTGCTTAGAAGGATCGCGGAGGTTTATCCACTAATTCCAGAACAATTTCTGCAACCAGGCTAATATTAGCTTACTAGACTCATCACATTCACCTAAACAGCCTCGACGAAGGATTTCAATGCCGTGCCACAACCACGGCAGCTTTACTAGTTTTTTGCTTACTACGCACGGCAATGAGCATCGACCCAGTAAATCCCCCAGACTTGATGACTTGGGCCCGACTAAGACGTCCTCAAAAGATCTTAGATATATAAAGAAATAAAAGGATGGAAGCAGGATCAAATATCGTCATCATCCATCCAGATTAACTTCATCAATCTCACCCCCCTCCCCAAATACCTCACCCAACCAAACACCATGGGATCATTTTCGCCATTCCCTCCCGCGCCCAAGGCGGGCCTTGGTGAGCACTAAGAATCCCCCACAGTCCCCTCCTCCAACCACAGCCACCCTGCACGCAATTGATTCCCTGGACTAATAACAAACTCAGACTGGGCAAACCTGGACATGACCAAACATCTTCCCGTCAACGGCCACGTCGAGCTCCGCTTCCATCAATCCACCCAATCCTGGACCCCCCCATCTCTCGTGACAGGAAACCAGATCTCCATCTCTGGTCTTTGCCCGGGCCTTAACTACGGCCAACAATGTTACGAGGGGTTGAAGGCAATGCGCCGCCGCCGCCACCGTCATGGCTCCCAGGAAGCAGAAGAAACCATTGCCGTCTTTCGACCCACCTTCCACGCCGCGCGCATGGCTCGCTCTGCTGACGCCGTCTGTCTGCCTCCGGTCCCAGAGCATCTCTTCCTAGAGTGCATCCGCCTCGCGGTGGCTGCCAACGCTGAGTATGTACCCCCACTCGACGCCGAGGGATTCTTGTACATCCGACCAGTCCTCTTCGGGGCGTCGGATGGCTTACCCTTAGGTCCGTGTGAGGAGACCATCTTTGCAGTGTACTGCCACCCGGCGCGGGCATACCACGGAATGCAGGGGATCAAGGGCTTGGTATGCGAGGAATTTGATCGGGCGGCGCCACGAGGAATGGGTCGTTTTAAGGTCGGAGGGAATTACGCCCCCGTATGGCGCCACGCGGGGAAGGCGCAGAAGATGGGTTATCATATCACGCTGCATCTTGACAGTGAGACCCATTCCCTCGTGGAGGAATTTGCCACGAGTGGGTTCTTGGGCCATAAGATCGTGGACGGCCAGGATGTGCTGGTCGTGCCGGAGTCGGAGAATGCGATCGAGAGCGTCACCGGCTCAAGTCTTCAGGTCCTTGCCAAGAACAAGGGCTGGAAGGTGGATAAAGTACCTGTAAGTGTTATCCTCGTGTTTGTCTCCAATTTGGTTTATTTCCTGGCGATCGGGTTGGCTGACAGATCTCACATCAGCTCCCGTTCTCCTCGCTAGGGGAGTTAGATGAAGTCATTGCCGTTGGAACTGCCGCCGCCGCGGTGCCCATTGCTTCCATCGATCGGTTGTCATCGGGCGAAAAGTATGTTTTCCAAGCGACTGGAGATGGGAAGTTGCTTGATCTCGCTCGCAGCATGCGAGCGATACAGAAGGGACAGGCACCAGACAGTGATGATTGGTGTTTTGAGGTCACGGGATTTTGAGTGTACCGGATACTTGAGAGTTTGACATAGACAGTGTTAGTAAGGAATATGTAAATTTAATCACGAACACCAAAATGTTGCTTAAACAAGGCTTGAATACAGAGATCGACAGTAAAATGTTTAGGATTTACCGAACGGGTAGACGATGAAACACCAACATCGACCAAAACGTCTCCACGTGGGATCGACATGATCAGAGAATGCCAACCACATGGTTTTCTCTCCGATAAGAGCCAGTTTTGGTTCGTGTTGGTCGTTTACTGTTTCATTGTCTATCACTAGCCGCAAATTATGAACCAAAATTAGCATCCTTAATCTCAGACCACTTCCTACTTCTTAATCCTTACTCCTCATCATCCAGTAAACACCCGAATTGGCCCCGAGAAAGCCTACCACCCAGCTGACTACCACCAGCGTAGTAATCACCCAAGTAATTAACCTCCTAGTATTGACACACTATAACTAGTCCAACCTACATAATCATCCTTCCAAACTCAGTCTCTCATCCATTCAACAGACCACATCATTTTACCTCATACCATCCCGTCTCATTGCAACCCTATCAACACGAGCATCCATACGCAATCACAATGCTTCTCCTCCTATTCTCAATCCTCATCCTGATCCTCTTCTTCAATGCTAAATCCCTCCCACTCGTCTACTCCTTCCAGCTCCTTCCCTCCCTTTACCGAATCCTGCAACCCCGCAACGCTCAACGCCCCAAAGAGCTCGTATCCCCGCACCCAATCAACACTCCAAATCTCTTTTACCCAGCCCTACCCAGCCTCTTCCGCCCCCACTCAAGCCAAACACACTGCCCCCTGCCGGAAATCGACCTGAACCTACACAAAAGCAACAGCACTTTCTTCACAGATGCGGATCTCAGCCGCGCCCGCCTCCTCAGTCGCCTCCTTGGGCCGGCCTTGGCATCGCTCGACGGCATGCCCATGCTAGCTGCAGTCCAGGCACGGTTCCTGCGTGAAATTCGCCCCTTTCAGCGATATTGCGTGGCTACTCGGATCCTGGCGTGGGATCAGCGGTCGCTGTGGACGGTTACTTATTTCTTGAGGGGGGAAGTGTATAGGGGGATGAGGGAGGTGGACCTTGATGGAGGACCCACGGCCGTGTTGACGGATTGGAATATCCGCAAGGGGGTGTTGGCTGTGCTGGTTAGTCGGTATGTGGTCAAGGCTGGGAAGGTTACTGTGCCTCCTGTGGAGGTCTTTAAGCGGGCGGGATTGTTGGTTGACGATGATGATAATTGCATTACTCAAAATGATGGGGATAGGTCTGTTAGTAATGTTGAGGAGAAAGAGGGGGATTCGCTGGTGGGAGAGGTGAGTAAGAATTGCAGGAGCATCGACGCTAGAATCCAGCGGAAGGATGAAGAGGTCTGGCCTGCAGACCGTGTGAAGGAGATGATTGGGTCTGCGATGCAGTTCATCGGAGAATGCATGTTGTAACCACATGGCACCCATGGGGATGGGTTACGTGGAAAAGGAGCACATTCTGCTTGTTTGGGAACACGGACAGAATTTAGATGCGGGGTGCAGCAGTTCGAGACATCATGGTGCTATTGCTTTTGCTACTTGTTTCATAGATAGTATGCAGGAAAATATGCGAGTGAAGCTAAGCTTCGGTTCGGTGTTACAACGAATATTCTATTCGCCTCCCGTGATGCTGGTAGTCGCAATTGAAACCAAGTTGTCACTGCATAGCTCTAGAGATGAAGATGTCAGTACAGCAAGTCAACCATCACGCATCCTTCGCGGTCTGATCCCCAGCTGAAGCACCAACCACCACTATTGCCAATCAAGCGTCTCCATGGCCCCCAAATTGCGCTGCCATCCAACTTCACGTATAGACAGACCTTTCCAGCTGAAGCAAATTCATCCAAGACGTAATACGACCCCCGTATTTCACAGCCACATTATCTGATCCAGACAAGCTTGCGACGAGAGGAACCACGTGGGTGGGAGATCTGACATGATATGCAAAGAAGGTTCTTCACCAACAAGAACAATAATAGCTGAAGCAGCAGGAGCTATAGTAATAGTAATACTAACAACAGCTAAGAACTGAAACCCATCATCATAGGGTGTCTGTATGATGCATGAGCAAAAGTCCTCATGTGAGTAGTAATCCTAGGAGTAAAATCTGCCATGGCCCCAAAATGTCACTGACATGTTCCATTCCACCCAAAGGTTAACCAGGTTCTTGGGGCGAAAACCTATTCTGAAACAACCCAGATCATGGCTTAGATCGCATCAATCCTATATTAGTGTTGCAAATTTTGTACTAAGACTTGTTTCGAAGTGCCATGATGCATGGCTGACGAAGATCCCAAGTTGCTTGGTCCTTCTACCGCAATCCATACTTTTCTTCGTGTCAGATTTATGGTGGTATTACGGGGTCCGTGCAATGGGTTGTGAGTAGAAGAAAGCGGGGGACGGTCGGTACCGTAATGAAAGATGGTAAAATAAGGGAGGGGGCTGTGACACGACAGTTGGTCTCGCACCTAAGCGTGTGAGAGTGAGATCAGTGTAGGGCTCATTTCATAGCGGGTTCCTACAAGTTTGAAGCCCCCAACCACAAGCCAGCCTTGCCATGATGACTTGAGGCGTGCCATGCCGCCGCCCGTCTTGGCCAGTTTCGAAAATCGCCATGTGGTCTGAGATCCGGGGCAGAGCAAAGTTTAAAAGTGGACCGGATACCTCCTATTTGTATCTCTTCATCATGTATATCTACATCCAATTCTTTTGTCCATATCAGGTCTGGATAAATAACTAGGGAGGAAAAAATGAATCAAATACAGCAACAACAGCAGAACCCTCTGGTAGGGTCAAACGGAACTACTTTGCCCGTGGTCGTTGATACTCGCCGACCGTCTGGACGTCCCA